CCAGGCACACGAGGCACCGGACTTTCAGAGCATGCGCCGTGGTCTCAACAAACACGAAGTTGGGGGATGGGCGCGCCATGGCACTGCTCTGACCGGGCCAAGGTGCCGCTGCCTTCCAGTCGCAGGCAGAGGGGTCCTAAAGGGCCGCGCCCAAGCCCCAAGCCCCAAGGCCCAAGCGGCAGCCGCCCGCCATCCGAAGCCAGGAGGCGGTGAGCGCCCTGGAGCGGCTGCTGAAGCTTTGCTCCCACTTCCAAGTCGGCGGCGGTAGCGAAGTGGGCAGTCGGCGGCCAAGAGGGCCCAGGAGGGTCATTGCGCAATCCAAACCACGCGACTTGATGTTTGTGATGGCTATTCTAGAAAAAGGGGTGTGGGTGCCAGAATAGGAGGGATGGATGACCTCTGGAGGTTCATCCGGCGGCTTTTGGAGTTGAACAAACAGACCCGTCTCTCCGCGCTGCTCCATACAAGTGCTCACGTCAGCTGGCACGGTCATTTACTTGTGGCAGGAAGCTGAGGGCAACAAATTAAAGGGATTTTGCAAGACAATCTGAACCACTATGGGTGCCAACAATTGAGTGAGCCAACAGCCCCTCCTGCGCCCGCACGCAGCTCTGACTGCCTGCTGAATTTCCTGTTTGCACTTGGAGGCAAAGGTTGCAACTCCATTGAAAGACCACCGGTGTCCTTTGCGTGTGCTAAGATTTCACATCAGGGCCTGTAGCACGAGCACCGGAGACCACGCGAAGATCGACATCACTTCTTGCGAAATCGCGAGGCTTATAACAGGAAGGTGAAGCCTTTGTCAGGTCAGAAACGAAGTTGAAGCATCCGCCTTGAAAGCATCGGTCTCGCCTGCAGCTTGCTGACGTGGCTGCCTGTGACTGACCTGCGTGCGTCGAGCCACGAGGTTTTCAACGAGCTCAGGGCTTCATTCTGTACATGTGGTAATGGATCGTATGGGATTGTCACCAGTTTGTTGTATCTATTCTTGGACACTTGAGGTCCTCATCTTGTCCTCACTCGTTCAGCTGATCTTTCCCATCATAAGTATTCTGCTCCTGGCATTGTACAAATCCAGTACTTATGAGGCGTACCTCCCCGCTGTTCCTCACAGCCTTCGGCCCGCATCATACACGTCCGTCTCAACGCCTCTGGGATATGTCTGCGAGGTGCCCACCAGGAGTGTGAGCGGATATACGACCAGAAGGGGCGGCGCGTGGTGCGTGCAAGGCACGCGGTTGGACATTTCTCAACAGTGGCCTGCTGCTGTTTTAGATAGATAAAGTGTTGAACATTGAAAAGCGAGGATGAGAAGCGCAGCCTCTTGGACATAGAGTCATAGAGTCTTGTACCCAGGAACCAAATGAGCCGCTGCTGCCGCGTCCTGGCCTTGCTGCAGCTCCACTCTGAGTACGCAGTGGGAAGAAGGGGAAGTCGAGGTGTTCTCAGAAACTTCGATGCCGAGGCATCTGGTGCCCAAGTCCGCCAAAGCCAAACAGGCCAAAGCATGGCAGAGTGCGCTGGAGAAGGCCAAGGCGCTCGCGGAGACGCCTTAAGAGCAGAGCAGAGCAGCGCGTCGTATCTCCTGTGCATCGCTGAGTGCGGCACATGGAAGGAGGCCCTGGTCGGCGCCGGCGACGCGGCGAAGCCCTTCTGCGAGGCGCGCAGTTAGCAAGGGGCTGCGCAGAGCCCCCCCTAAACCCCTTTCGACAAAAAGGAGCTGGACCGGGAGCTCCTGGCGGCCGAGCGCGAGGACCGGGAGCAGTGGCTCCGGTGCCTCGATGGCCACAAGCCCTCCAGCGAGGAGACACATGGAAGAGAGAGGGCGAGTAAACAAATAAGAGAACCGATTCTCGAACAAACACTTTTCCACGAAAGCCCCATAACATATGGGGGGGCTGGGAAGAAGAAGAAGCGAGCGAGCGCAGAGCGAGAGAGAGAGAGAAAGGCTGCAGAGAGGTCTGGAGAGTGCGAAAAGAGAGGAGCTGTTGCAGTTCCTGGGCCCGGAGGGCCCGAAGCGAGGCACGAAGCAGAGTCGGTCCCAAGAAGCTCTGCCCTGAAAGACGATGTGAGGTTGCCTTGAAGAGTGGAAGGGGATGCTCGAGGGGCCGCAAATCGAGGTGCCCGTCTCGTCTCTTTTGCAATTGTGCACAGTCTCTGCGCACCCGATGTTCTGCAGGCCCGAGTTCTGGAGCGGCTGCTTTTGGCCCAAGCCAATGAGCAGGCATGGGCGAGAGAGCGCGAGAGAGCCGCAAGCAAGCAAGAGACGCTGACAGTCGACCGAGCCCAACTACCTTCCTGAGGGCGGGGTAGTCTGAAAGGCGCAGAACCTCCGTGAACTCCATGAAGCGGAAACTTCCATGGACTTCTTCCGCCGCACTGTTGCTGCCCTTGGAGGAACGAAGCCTGAGGCCGGAGAGCCGCACTTGACCGCACCTGATCGCACCTCGCGGTGCGTCTTGCAATCCTAGGATCGGAGCTGCTCCGTCTGCCTGGAAGAGAATCTGCCGGCGACGGCCTCGAGCAGAGAGCGGCTCCTCGGCTCAAAAGCGCAAAGCTGCTCGCGGCGAGGCCCAGAAGATGGCCATCACCCCCTGCGCACACGCCTTCTGCCGGGGGCCCAACCCTGACACAACACGGCAAAAGGGAAGCCCAAAAGCAAGTTGTGAGAGTCATGTGAGATCTGAGTGAGGGAACCTCACCATCTGATGTCTTGACCAAGGCATAAATTGCCTCCGCGAAGCAGTGGAGAAGTTTGGTAGGTGCAGCTTGTGCCGCTTGGTACAGGAAACGAAGCATCGCATTCCTTCATATCCTTCTATTATTGGTTTCCTCCACCCATGCATGTAGTGACCATACACCAGAGTGTGTCAGAGTCAATGTTGAAGGCTGTGCGCTCCTTTCAGGTCAACGGAGTCTGTCTTTGCGGGACGTGCAACCGTTGGTTGCAGAGTTAGAGGCTGCTGCTGCTCCACCAGCTGCAAGCGATGAGAGGGCTGCGACGCCGATGCCTCACACGGCACAAGGTGCGATGCTCAACCAATCGTAAGGATAGCTCGGGTGGCTGGAAGCCTGCACAGGCGTGCCGCTAGACAAGTACGGCACCAAGCTCGCATCCTTGGCACCGAGCTCAGCCGCTGATGACGCGGTTTTGTGACTCGCTGCGCGGCGCGTTGCACGATGTGTTGCGATCTAAGCGAGGCTCGGAAGTTATCCGAGCTCCGTGCGGAGGACTGCAGCGCCAAGGCCAGGGTGTGGCGCGAGATGAGAACGTCGGTCTGGACATCGATTCGAGGTCATCCTCTTCGTGCAGTTCGACGACCTAAAGCGCAAGGTCAGCTGTGGCTTTAAAGCCCTGTTTACGTGTGCTTGATGAAGCACCAAGCTTCATCAAGCATTGCCTTCTGCCATACTCCCACTGCGACGAGGTGTGCTCTGCACTGACAGAGTTCGGCATTCCCTGTGCGATGCTACAAGGAGGTGTGGGTGTGTTGGGCCCTGAGAGCCTATGACCTGTGACCACAGCTCATCCGGTGAATTCGGTGATGTCTTAGAAAAAGAAACAAAAAGCAAGCGAGGCGTGCCGGGATTATCCGCGACTGGCAAAGCAATCCCCAGTCGCGCACCTTCGTCCTGTTACTCTCCTTGGCGCAGAGTGCCTCAGGCCAGCTGGGACGAGAGCTCCATGATGCACTTCACTTTCCAGATGTCCCTTCCGTCAGGTACGAATTTGACGGCAGCCAGCCATGTGATTTTCTTGCATCCGATGCTGGCGCCAACGGCGGAGAAGGCTGTTGGCTACGAGATGCAGGTGCCGGTGGAAGACATGAACCTGTTGAATCGGTGCCTTGCGCATCGGCGGTCGCTTTGCTCCGCCAGGCCATCGGCCGAGCCCGGCGCCACGGGCAGCCGCGGGACACGGTGCACGTCTGGCCGGGAGCACAAGCGTGCTGTCGTCGGGGCCCCCATGCCGCCAAATGCCGGTTTCCAGGCGCTTCGTCACTGCCGACACAGTGGAGCAGACGATCACAGAGGAACATCAGGCCACCAGACTCCAGCACAAGATCTCAACCTGTATGCGTGTGCGTCATCCTTGTAACAAAGAGCTAGTAAACTGAAACCATGCAGAAGAAGGGGGTATTGCGGTCGCATCCTAGCCATGCCAACGAAGCTACGGATGTTGACTGGAAGAGTTCACAGACGTGTGAGCCTGTACCTGCATGAGAAACTGGCATGGGCGATTGATATGTCGCAGCTTGCAGTTTCGAGCTGTTTGTTGTCGTAGGTTGGTTGATACGGAAGTGTTGCAGTTGAAAGACAGTCTTGACATGTCAGCTGTGCAGTAGCTGTCAGCCTTGAGACCTGTAATCTAAACAATGGCAGATCAGCAGATCAGTACATCTAGACATAAATCGGAAGTGAGACAAACAAATCGAGCCACATCACCGGCGCCATCTCAGATCAAGAGATCTGATGCAAATGTGTGTGTGTGTGTCCCCGCTGATTGTCTTTCGCTGTGCAAGGGCACGCTGTGTTCCGTCAGGATTGTCTGAATTCTGCGGACAAATTCGTGCAACGGAGTCTTCACTAAGACAAAAACCGGGATAAGGCAGTGTGGAAGAAGGGTGAGGTTGTGTGCGAGCTCACGCCAGGGCGCCCTCTGGAGGTGCGAGCAGGCGCGCCAGCAAGAAGTCCCGGCACAGGCGCCAGAGGTGCCGGGAGAAGCTTGAGGAGGTGCCGAGATCTGCAAAGCAGAGCTTGGGCAGTTAATGCATCGGTGGATGGCTCTGCGCAGGGCCAGCAGGGCCGTGCGTCCTAGAATCCTAGAACGGGTGAACGGTGGCTGGGGTGTGGCGCCGGTCGAAACGCAGGATGCGCATCATGTCCACACCATCTAAAGCTCGAAGAGCTGGCTCTGTGCCGTTGGGAACTTTCGTCCGCTGCAGCGTTGCGGCTCTGGGCGTTAGAGCCGGTGACATGGAATCCACTCGGCTCGTGTCATGGAGGCCAGTCGGTCACGGACATGGTGGGACCCTACAGAACTGCGTTTATGGTGTGCAGGCGCCAGAGAAGTCGGAGCGGGAATCGCAGGAGCGTCCCGAACATCCGGAGCGTCGCCCAGGCAGAGTGTGGCCGCGTAGCAGCTTGAGAAACCTGCGGGTGTCTCCCTGAGGTCCGAGTGGTCCTCTGAGGGCCAAGGCAGAGTGCTGTGGGGGCCAGGGCAGGTCCCAACAGTCCCAAGGGGGCCGGGTTTATGCGACAAGGTTGTAGAGGCAGGAGGCCGCAACCTTCGACGTGTGAGCCTTTCTGCATGGGCCAAAAGGCAAAGACACGCCGGCAGTTGCTGGAGGCCGGCCTGCCATCCCTTGATCGATGTGATTATTTCGAGACTCCGTGAAGGCTTATGTGACGAGGGAAGACCAGCACCGCAAGAAGCACTACGACTTCTGCAGCAAGCAGGCCGCTGCAGACATTTGCAAGGTTGACGGGCTCCGTCCAAGCTCGAGGTGCTGTCGGTATACACCACATTTCCGAGACCATTCTTTTCGCGGGAGGACTTCCGCAGCCACCAGGTGCGGTGCAAGAGAGAGAGAGAGAGAGAGAGAGAGAGAGAGAGAGAGAGACCCCGTGCCCAAACGCCCGGCAAGCAA